TGCTTCTTAAACTATGTGCATTTATGAAAGTTCTTATGAAGTTTCTAACAATTTCATCCACTAGTTTTATTGCTGGAATGAGATATAGCAAGACTTGCGTTGGCTACTAAGAAAGTTAGTAGCCGGTGGTCATCGGGTTAAACAAACTTTTGATACAATCATGAAAAAGTATACTTTTTGTCATAAAATAATCCTTCAAATTACTTTAGACTTTTGTATAATCACAAAACCTCTTCCACAGAATTTATTTTAAAATGAAAACTTACCTCCAACACTCCAATTTGAACAAACGCAAACAATAAAAGTGCTAAGTAGTTTTCAACAAAATTTGTTCTGGAAATTCAAACAAAAAGAAGAATAAAAACCACTTTAATTTGGATTTAGTAATGATTTTAATCATAGTAAGATACAATCAAATGAGAAATACATATATATCTTTTATCTGCAATCAACATATCAAATTAACCCTTTCGAGACAGGTCATGGGTGAAAGGCCATATCATCTCATTTGTTGACTTGCATTCAAAATGTTATTGAACTACTATTTCATGAATTTATGTCAATACGGTTGGTATCAAACTGTAGATTATAAATTTTAGTACCATATATTACTCAATTTCTTACTTTAAAAGCAAATATTGAAAAAACACAGGTAAACATCGATTTCTGTGTGTCATGTGGTATGTTGAATGCAGCACTGGTTCAAATGAGATGTTTGTGAATTCAAAATAATCAGTTTATAGTTTTGAACGAATTAGAAACTCAAATTATCGATATTGACAAGCTAGAATATAAAATAAGAGCCTCTTATCTTTTCAAGTTGCTAATATATTGCTCACGTAATAAATCAAACACAGTGACACCTTGCCCATCTCCTTCCATTTTTGGAAATGCTCCCTTACTTACTTCTATATATGTCATAAATAACCAATCGGGAGCTCAGAATGTCCCACTAGTGGCTTTCTCAACCATTTTAGTGGACTTGGTGACATTTCTTTCTTTTTGAACCAATATTTCAACAA